CTTACAGGAAACATTTCTGAAACCTGCTGATACAGTCACCCTTTGGCAGTTTTCTTTGTACCGGAATGACAGGTTGTGTGATGGACGGGTGCATGGAGGGGGCACTGCTGGTCGACCAACATGTGCCCTCCTTATCTGTGTCCCTCGATACACCCTTGGAGACCATAGCCATCCGTGTTTCCTTGGGTCGTACCATCACTGTTTGTTCTGTCTACCTGTCTCCTGGGGAGACTTGTGATCACTCGGACCTTGATGCTCTCGTTGACCAGTTGCCATCTCCCTTTTTACTTCTGGGAGACTTTAATGGACACAACCCCCTCTGGGGTGGTGCTGATATTGATGGAAGGGGTCGTTCCATAGAGCATATGCTCTCGGATCACAACCTTTCTCTCTTCAATACTGGAACATATACTTATTTTCATGCACCTAGTCAGTCTTTTACTGCCATTGATCTCTCAATTTGCTCCCCTTCACTTTTCACTCGCTTTTCTTGGATGGTCGACAGTGACCCACGGGGAAGTGATCATTTTCTTATCATTATGAGGGAGGTTGGTCATGGTCGATGCCACCCGACCCGAGTGCTATGGTGGAAGTTGGACCAGGCTGACTGGCTGTCTTTCACTTCTCTCTCTGAACTTGATCCTGCCTTTGCCTGTCTGCCATCAATAGATGATTGTGTGGTTACAGTGACTGACTGTATCGTCCAGGCAGCTGCTCATTTTATCCCTAAGACCTCGACACGTTTTCCACGGTATCCTCGTCCATGGTGGAGTCCTGCTTGCCAGGAGGTATGGAAGGCTCAAAAACGGGCCTGGGAAACCTTCCGACGGTATCCCTCTCTTTTTAACTGAATTGTTTATCAACAGGCCCATGCCCATGCTCAGCAGGTTCGACGTCAAAGCCAAAAGGAGTCTTGGATTAAGTTCACTACTAGCATATCTTCTACCAACAGTTCCAAAACTGTATGGGACAAGATTCGAAAAGTCACTGGGAGGTATGCTTCCCATCCCCTTTCCATCTTGCTCTCCAATGGCCAGGAAGTTGCTGATGTCCAGAGCATTGCTGATGCTCTCGGCCACAGCTTTTCTCGTGCTTCTAGCACTTCTGTTTCTTCCCCTGCCTTCTTGGCCATCAAGTCTTGGGCAGAGCAATTGCCTCTTTCCTTCTGAACCAATCATCTCTATGATTATAATCTCCCCTTTACACTGGTGGAACTCAAACTTGCTTTTCATCGGTCTGGTAGTACATCGGTTGGACCTGATGATGTTCATTATTAGATATTTTGCCATCTCTCTCCTGCCTCTCTTGCTATTCTTCTGGTTATTTTTAACCGGATCTGGCAGGAGCATGTTTTTCTTGATGCTTGGCACCAGGGTATTGTCCTCCCTTTCTCTAAACCTGGGAAGGATCCCAAGACACCTTCCAATTATCGTCCCATCTCTTTGACCAGTTGTCTTTGTAAGGTCCTAGAGAGGATGGTTAATGCTCGTCTTGTTTAGTTCCTGGAATCGAACATGCTCCTCTCACCCACCTAGTGTGGGTTCCGTCGACAGCACTCCACCATGGACCATCTGATTCGACTTGAAACGTTGATCAGGGAAGCCTTTCTCAAGAGAAAACACCTTGTTTCTGTGTTCTTCGATCTCGAGAAGGCTTATGACACTACATGGAGGTATGAAATTTTGCAGGACCTCCACTCCTATGGGTTTCATGGCCATATAACCATTTATATTCAAAATTTTTTATTGAACAGGCGATTCCAATTCCGTGTGTATTCAACTCTTTCCCATTCTTTTCCACAGGAACTTGGAGTCCCTCAGGGCTGTGTCTTGAGTGTCACACTTTTTAGTGTTAAGATTAATGTCATCACTAATAATCTTCTTCTGACTGTTGAAAATGGGCTCTATGTCGACGACTTCCACACATCAAGCAACTACGTATCAAGTATGCAAGGGCTCTGAACATCCTCTGTGTCCTCTCTTCTAGCTCTTGGGGAGCAGATCGATGTTCTATGCTCAGGATCTATTGTGCCCTGATTCGATCCAAACTGGACTATGGGTCTGTGATTCTGCCAGGACCTCAGCCTTGAAGATGCTGGACCCCATTTACCATCTGGGGGCTTTGGCTCTGAACCAGGGCTTTTCGCACTTCTCCAGTCCAGAGTTTGTACACTGTGTTCCACGACCCTCCTCTTCACCTCCATTGTTTGCAACTTTCTTTACAATATGCTACCAAGCTTCGATCCTTACCACGCCATCCCACCTGGGATTGTGTCTTTCTTCCACGTTGTGCCATGCTCTTTTGGAACAGATGGTCTGCTATTCCGTCCTTTGGCCTTCATCTCCAGGCACAACTGTTTAAGTTGGGTCTGGCATTGGGGACATTGCTGTCCCCAATGATCAGTTTATTCCACCATGGCTTATTACCATTCCTTCTTGTGACCTTTCCTTAAGTCATCTGAGGAAGGCGGGTACTCCCGATTGGAAGTACCATCTTCTTTTTGCTGAACATCTTTCAAGCCATTCTTCTCTTCCTATTTGCACGGATGGTTCGAAATCAGGTCACTCTGTAGGTTCTGCCATAGTGTGCTGTGGCTCAGTAGTTGCTTGCAGGATCCCCTCTACAGTTTCTGTGTTCACTGCCGAGTTGTATGCTATTTCTCTTGCCCTGGATCATGTAGAAGCTATGCAGTACAGTAATTGTACTATTTACACTGATTCTCTTAGCTCTCTACTGGCCCTGGAATTGCTTAACGTTAGTCCTCACTCTGTTCTCGTCGATATTCAACACTGACTGGCACACTTTTCTCTATCTTCTGTTTCCGTCCAGTTTTTCTGGATCCCTGGCTACGTCAGTATTCATGGGAACGAGCTCGCTGACACTGCAGCTAAGTCCGTTTGCTCTGGTGCAGGCACGGCTGTGCCTGTCCCATACATGGACTACAGTCCTGTCTTCAAGGCACAGCTTCGTGCCAGTTGGCAGTCGACTTGGGGTGAGCAATGTCATAACAAGCTTTTCCAGATCAAACCTTCAGTTGGTCTTTGGCCGTCTTGCTTCCGTAAGGATCGGAAGGAGGAAGTAGTCCTGGCAAGGCTACACATTGGTCACAGTTTTTTAACCCATCGTTTTCTTTTATCACGTATTGACCCACCAATGTATAGCCATTGTGACACTCAAGTTACAATAGCCCACATTTTACTGTTGTGTTGTCGTTACGCCCGTAAGCGGCAGCACCATTTTAGACACGTAATTTGTAAGAGTTTACCCCTGACGTTGGACAGTGTCATTGGCATTGGTGACACTATCTGACTAAATTGTATTTTTAATTTTTTACACAATATTGGTGTTTCTAATTGTATATAAATCTATTATCAAAATTTTGGACATATTTCGGTTTTAACTAGATGTATTTGTACATTTTACTTTAATTTACTTTCACTTTTTACCGGTTGTTTGCGCAGATAGCCTCGTTGATAGATAATTGAGTCAAGTGAGCAGTAGTGACCGTAAGTAAAGTGCGTGAATCGTTGTGAATTATAGTGTGTGTTTAAGTTAAAGTAACTGTGGAAATTCTGTGTATTGCAAAGTTGTATTAAGAAAGAATAAACTAGTTTTATTTAAGAAAGGACTTGCATCGCTGACGTTCTTCGGAAATAATTTTTACAGGAAATTAACAAACGACCAGAGACGTAACAATATGTTTTCTTGAAAATGGACTGGGCAGACTAACTTAAGTTATTTCTAATTTGTTAAGTGAGGGTAAAACTTGATTAAAATGATTTATTGTTTACTGTTTTACAGAAGGTCATTTACAAATCACAGAAATGTGAGGAAATTAGCTAAATGTGTGTAAATCTCAGGACAGTTACATAACTTCTGTCATATGACAGACAGACATCTGTCCCACATAAAAATACAAACTGCATTGTCTGGTTTTGTAAAATGCCTTCAAAACTTAATCATTGGATGAAGAGGTATCAAAGAAAAATGGCTATGTTGTTAGGTGATGTAGAGCAATAAAAGACAGAATCGTTGAAAGAAGGGAGTTTTTAATGTTCTCCATACCCAGCAATGGCCTCCATAACCATAGCCCAACTCAATCAAATCAATTTTTTCTTATGGAAAGTGAAAGTTTAGGTTTAAAAAAGTAACCTTCTAATCTTACCTTAAAAGCCATTGTGATGAAACTGGGTGTATATCTTGGTGCTGTCAGCTAGATAATAAACAAAGATATGAAGCTAATGAAGACTTCTAATTCCAAAGTTCACGAGTTTCCAGCACACCTTGAAATGAATGGCTGCTTTCATGAGAAAGATGGCCAAAGAAGTCAACCACAACAATTCAATGGGCTTTTATGCCTTTGGTTTGATTTGAGCATGTGCTTAGAGGTCATAAACCTAAGACATTAGCTAGTTTATGGAAAGCTGCAGAAGAAGAACAAGAAAAATTAATACAGCTGTTGTCTGAAGAAACATGATATCATGAAAACATCACTGCAATGCCATTATTATTATGATTTGTGGAAAAATAATATCTTCAGCAATAGTATGTCAGACTTCAGTTATAAAAGTGTAAATGACCTTCCATAATTTGGTATTATACATTTATTTATACTTATGAAGGTCAGAATACTTTTGTTTTGTTTTGATATAAATCTAGTATATTAATATTTCAAATCATTCTTTTTTGTTGTGATTTCTTTCAGAAGGTAAACATAGTCTTTCAAAACCAGTGACACAGAAAGATGTAAGTGCTTATATGAACATGGATAGAGCATTAGAAGAAAAGAGTGAACTGGCAAAAACATCACCATTTAATTTATCAATCACTCAAGAAGGATATATGGAAATGAATCAGCTAATTTCATCAGTGTCTTTGGAGGAAGATCAGTATGGTATGCAGTATGTTTTTCTACTAACTGTTATGTACATTGATTAATGCTTGTTGTTTTACCATATAGTTAGTTTTCTTTCTGATCATTCTAAAAATGCTGTAAACAAATTCAGCTTTGCAAAATATTTTCATCAGAATAACAATGGATTCTCCTGATTATCAGTAGGTTTTTATTCACAATATTTGAAAACCATTCATTCCCAATTAGATCTCAGGACTCCAGTTTTACATGATGATATCTCAAATTATTCCCTTCACTCTAGACTTCAATTTCCAGATGTTTTAAGACCATCCTTCTTAAAGAGAACTCGGTAGACCACTTCATTGTCTTAATGATCATATCATAATAATATCTTTCAAGGTAGTCCTCAATACAATAGCTGCTTTCTCTTGATAATATCTTAATACCATTTCTTTCCAAATATATCTCAGTGCACTAGTTCATTTGTCTTAATTCTAGAATACTTGTGTTGTTATATGGACCTCATTGGATTTTTAAACACATTTTTTAAAAAAATATCTATGCGTCTTGTTACTTTTTGGTCTGTAACTGTTATGGTTATGGAACCCATGATAGCAGATGAGTCAAACAAAACATTTCTTGAATATTGCAATTCATTCCTGCATGCTGAGGTATCTAGATATTTTACATTGAAAATGAGTGATTTCATTCAATTGCTTTGGTTAGCTCTTTACACTATGTTTCATAAGAGACAAAAACACATAAAATTAGTCAATATGATGCATTATGCAACACCCTATCACAATATTCATATTGAGACATCTTTTTAACTCTTACTGAATTGTCTCTCTCATGTATAAAAGGCTGCTATTTCTTGTTTCAAATCATTTCAGTTTCAGTATTCTTCTGAATATTTTCTCTTATAACATAGCCAAGAGTGTGGTGACTAAAAATATTATTGACAGTTCTGAAAATGATAATAGTAATGGCCATATGGTATCAAGAAGTGAAAATGGATATGATTTATCTGTTCATGAAAATGCTAGTGATACAATTTCAAATAAAAATGAAATTAATAATGTAACTTATGATGATATTTGTGAAGAACTGAAAGTTATAATTTTCCTAAATTGAAAATTTATTTCCGATAGATACTTACCTTATATCACATAATAGCTTTTCTTGCTCAGTGCTACCCTCTATATGCACAAAAATTTTCACTCATCACTAGCCTTGATACTCCAACCTACACCATGTGTGTAACGTGGTACAGCTGTGCTGTAGCATACAAATAAGCATGTCACAACCCTCTACCAATGGGAGTGTGACACACTGTCCTGGCACAGCTTGCTCCCTCTGTACTGTAGAACTCAATCTTTACTTTGAGATTAGGCAAAAAAAGATGCACTAAAGTGGTAAGAAAGGATGTGAAGTGTGATCGAATGTAAGTATCTATCAAAAATATACTTTCAGTTTAAGTAAATTATAACTTCAGACATGATACTTTACCTCTTCTCACCTAATAGCTAGAATCTCACATTGATCTGGTGGCCTTCTGGTGCACAATTTACTTAGATTATCACCCTTCAGAAAGCATCTAAAGAGAGCCCATGGATTGTGATATCTCTCTGTAGAGGATTACATCTGTGGGAGACTGCACCAAATCTGAACCAGGTATACTCTTTGCCCATCATGAAAATATGTGTCGCTAAATCAGGCGGAAAAGGAGCGTATCCATAAGGAGTGGCTAGAATGTGTCACACTGCAACATGTGGGTCAATTTTAGTCCAAAACCAGGCAGAATCTGGTATTTGTCATCCAGTCTGTGGTAGGAAAAATGTCCCAATCGTTTTCACCTCAAGCTTAGGAAGTAGAAGGGAAAAACAACTTCTGTTCCAACCACCCAAGCAGGGCTCATGTATGCAAACACAATACCCAACCAAAATCAGACCATTTTGGAACTAACATCCAATTGACAGTAGGAAGGAGGAATGCAATGTTGTGGTTCACTCAAATCCAAAACCAGGTGACATTGGAAACTTATCATCCAGTCTAGGGGAGAATGAGGACTCCCTACCAGTGTGAGGACTTATGGTGGCTGGTCCAACTCTAATCCAACACTGACCATCCAAGCAGTGGTAGAATGAGGAGTGACAACCAGAGGGATGAACTGCATTTTGGTGGATCATCTCCAGCCCATAACCCGGTGGCATAGGGTATTGTACTTCCAATCTGTGGTAGAAGGAGGGTTCACACCATCTTCACAGACAGAACAGCATCACCCTACTCTCAACTGAATGTGATTGAGCACACTCAAGAGGATGTCTCCATGGTCCACAATCCAGTGGCTAGGAGCTGGTAAGTGGCAAGGACTCCAAAGGAGGTGAGGGACAATATGGTGGGTCCAAAGGAATGCAACACTGAAGAAAGTGCAATGGATGACCATGAAACCCTATATTTAAAAGCAAGCTAGTTCCAATTTATTCAAACAGGAGTGGAGGGATGGGCAGCTATACCAACACTGCTTTACTCGTGCTAGTCCACGAATTAATACAGTTTGAGATGGATACAGTTATGATGCGAAACACTGCAAGGATTAACGTACTGAATAGTTTACAGCTTGTAACATTTTATATCTTTTTTTCTACCTAATTTTATTGTTTTGTTACCCTTTTAAACTGTGTATAAAGAAACAAACGGTGAGTGCTTACTGTATATATTTACAAATTCGTGGGCTTGTGCATGGGGTTGCACATGCTTAGTGTCAGTCCTTTGTGAAATTTAAGCCTTAAACTTTTACAATCATACTTCTGGTAAACTAAGTATTTTTTATTTATTTTAAAATGCACCTAAGAACACAGAATAATAACAGTCAACAAACCAACAATATGTTATAACTATTATAATACTCACCTTCTAATTATTGCATAAGTGCCTTAAAAAATCCATTAGATACTCTATCTGATCAGCTCCACAGAAATTTTCAAATTGAGTGAGCTATTTTTTTTTACACAATTGAAAAAAAAATGAATTTACACACCATTCATAGATTAAAACTTTGTCTTTCTTTTGGATATAAATTAGATGAGGTAAAAACATCAAAATTGTTTATTGGCTAATTTTGAAATAGAGTATGTTAGAGGTGTGTGTGTGGCAAGTACATCTCACTTTCTAATTGATAGCTCCTTAGACAAAAAAAGATTCAAACCTAGAAAAATTATATCTTTCATAGGAATATCAATAGTATAGTGTTACCAATTTATGTTAAAAAAGGGGTAGTAGATAAGTTATCAAAGACAGAACATTTAGAGAACTTAGTCATGATTTTAATGTGCAGTGAATTTAAGATTTTTTATTTAAATATTACCTTAACAAATTAAGACATTAAAACTTATATAATATAAAAAAATTGATTTATTATCTACATTTTGATACCAAGTTTGTTCATACAAGTCAATAATAATAATAATAAGGTTCATTTAATTTTGAAAGTCTACACTTTAACCGAAGTGTTCCTGAACATCATGTCACTAATAGCAGGCCAACTGTCACTTCGACCATAGAAACTGGTTGAGCTGCAAATAAAATGGATTTCCTCTTCATTGATAGGTTTCCAATATTCTTGTTAAAATAGCTAGGATAGTATGGTTTATTATATGTGAAAAAATACACATAGTAAGAAATATATATATAAATATACATATATATTCATACCTATACTGCATTATTTTCGTAATTAAGCATTTTTATTGTTTTCTTTGTCACATATAGTGAAAAAACTTGAATCTTAGTTATATTTATTACTAAAATTCACTCACAAAATTTGTATGAATAGTTTTTCTAGATATATAGGCCTAGAATTCAGTTTGATGTTTGAATATATATTGTGACTTAAAGATATCAAGGATTTTTTTTCACCTTAAATTCCCTTTTCAATTGAGGAATGTATAAAAATATTTATAAACATAAATCTGGTGCACAAAAGAGAAAATTCAAACACCAGAAAGAATATTCTGAAACTGAAAGTAGAGGAAGGTAAACTGTTTTTGTTGTTGATTTTGAAAAGAAAAGTGAAGACCAGTCCAAAGCTTTCCAATCAGGGTCTAATGTCAGTAATTACCATGAAGCAGTGCTGTAATTTGGAATAAATCAACTTAGCATGATTAAATGTCAAATGATACTAATATGAATGACAGTGACAATCTCACAGCATATCCTGTTACAGAAAAGCAAAGTGACTATCTACAGCCAAATGTAATCACTACTGGAGGAACACTTTCAAACATATCATTGATAGTTCCTAAAAAGCCACAGCATCTCAGTGGCTTGGATGTTGGTACCTTACCTGATGAGAGTGTATCAGCTGAAAACCTGGAGCTAGCTGTTAGAGCTAGGCCTCTACAACACCCTAAAGATTTTCTTTTCCCACGTGCTTTTCTTAAGTCTTTGCTGCAAAATGTGAAAATAAATGTTACTGTCTAGTTTGGAGTAAAATTAGGTAAGCTTTGTATTGTTTTACATGTCAACTTCTTGCCAAGACTCCAGTTGCATCATGCTCTACAATTAGAACTGTAAAAGGCTAGCCACTAACAACAGGCTGGAATAAACTTTATGATAGGCTCCCAGAGCATGAGAGAATTGTTCATTATAAAACATGTTTTACTGAGTGGTGTGAGCTTGAGAGATATTTTGGAGCAAACTCTTGTGTTGATTTGCAACCTGAGAAGAATATTCTTTTAAGAGAAGCCAAATGGAAGGATATCATAAAGAGGATTATTTTCTTGGAGGAGAGAGGCTTAGCATTTCATGGATCATCACAAAGGATTGATGTCCTGATAATGGTAATTTTTTGGAAATAATTGAGCTACTCAGTCATTACGATCTAGTTCAAAGGTAGCATGTAGAGAGAGTTGTAGAATCTCAGCGAGTAGGTTACCATCTACCTACTGTCATCATTATTGTGACAATGTTTAGATATATCAGAGAAAGATCTACCTTCAAAAACTAGGGAGTTTGTTGCCAAGTGTAGATTTGACTTGTCAGAAGACTTTGTTGAAGAAATGAAACATGTAAAGACCATACACAAAGCTAAATTTGGTGATACTGCATTAAATCCTTTAGATCTTCTAAACAAACTACACAAATTCAAGCTACATCCACTTTTCCCAAATTTTTCTGTAGCTCTCACATTTTCTGCACAATTCCAGTCACAGTTGCAGAAGGGGAGAGATTTTTTAGCAAACTGAAACTGATAAAATAATTATCTGCACTCCACCATTGCCCAAGATTGACTGATAGATCTGAGAACCCTCGCAATTTAAAACTGGTTAGCCCATACTTTGGATTAAAGCAGAATCATTGATCAATTTGCCAGACAGAAAGCAAGGAGAGTACACTTCTAGCAATGAAAATCTTACGGTAAAAAATTGTCTGGTTTAATGATGAAAAACCCACTTATGTATTAAAACAAGAAAATTGTAAAACTGATTTGTATTCAACCAATTCTATCTTATTTTGCTATTGAATAACTGAAATGTTTAAGTGCAATTGCATATTGCTTTCTTATATTCACCATATTAAACAAACATGAAACTCATTGTATGAGCATTTTTTTCTCTTTATTAATTTGATTCATTTATTTACAAAAATTCTTTAATCATGCAGGGACTTTTGTGATTTCTTTTTAGGCAACATTGTGTTTGTTCTGTTAGTGCATTTGTCAATTTTATGGTAATAGAATTAATCATTGATTCCTTAAAATTTTTTAGCCCATTTTCATCTGAGTAGCTTGTTGAAATGTTGTTAATAGTGAGTCCGGGAGAAGGGTCCCTAGGGGCTGCATATAACAATCCTTCCCTGTAGCCTATGGCAGGCAACTTGAAGAAAATCATCTGTAAATGTTTGTAAAGAAACATCAAGTCCAACAAGATATGCAAGAAAATATATTGACACTGTATTATCTGCATTTAATCTATTCATGAAAAAGACCATTATGGAGGAAATACTGAAATAGACTAATAAGGAATGAGAATCTGAATTTAAAGAACAATAATAAGCCATTTGAATTCAAACAAACTGCAGTGTTTCTTCATTGTGATAGCACTAACTGGTGTTTATAAATTAAAGAACAAAGCAGTCAAACAACTTTGGAATGGGAACAATGGTAGACCTTTTTTACCATTAGCAATGGGGCATAACAGATTTCATTGAATTTCAAGGTGCCTTTTGATCTGATAAATGAAGAATGAAGAAAAAGGAACAACTTGATCCCATAAAAAAGTATCTTCAATAAAAAGGTTCAGTAGCGATAAGTACCGTCAGAAAATTTGACTATTAAAAAGCAACTAGTCATATTAAATGGAAGAATCTCCTTAAAACAATGCATGCCAAGCAAACCTGAAAATATGGCATCAAAATTTTGGCTTTTTTTAATAATTATTCTTAAGCTTGTAATATGCAAGTGTGTACAGGAAGAAAAGGACAGCCAAGAGAACAAAACCAAGGTAAGAAAAGGTTGTACTAAATTTGATCTGAGAGTTAGAAAGCAGTGGATGCAATGTAACTGCCATCTGAAATAGTCTCCATAAAAGGACACACTGAGTTCTCAAGCAAATTTGCTTTTAGTTTTTTCCCAGACAGAATTTAACAAACCAGCTGGTTTTTGATAATCCATTTTATAATTCTTCACAATGTTTGAAAATCATTCGTTCCCAAGTAGATCTTAGTACTTCAAATTTTTATGATGGTATCTTAATTAAATAACTTCTGTTCCTTTCTTTTAATATTGTCTAAAACCATTTCTTTCCAGACATATCTCAGTACACCAGCTCATTTGTCCTAAGTCTGGAATGCATCTGTTGTCAATATTGACCTCACTAAATTTTTAAACACATTTTTACACATTACCTATGCACCATATTGCATAACTTTTAAAAGTGTTTTATTTTATTTTTTGTCAGAAAAATAACTTTTTTTTTACTTAAAAATTATGCAGACATATTTAAATGTAGTTGACATTAATTTTCCAGTATTAAGTAATTGTTTTGTATCTTTAGGAATCTTTAAAACTATAATTGCTTGAAGTGATATAGAAGTCTTGTTACTTTTTCTCTTGTAGTATTTCATAAAAAAAGGAATAGAAAACAAAAATATGCTTTGTTGCTTTCTACAACAGGCAGCAACTACTTGGAAATGGAATTTCCTATCAACCTTAAGAGAAGCCTGACAGATTCTTATTCAATAGCAACACAGAACAATGAGAAATTTCATCTTGATAAGGTAAAAACTGAATATTCTTACCACAAGATATGAAGAGTTAGTAATATGAAAGATAATAACTGTGTTGAAGTTTTCTAATCCAAAGATTTTTGTAACAAAGATATTTATTTGTTTTCCAGTCAAAACTGTAACTTCATGTTAAATTCTTCATATTTGAGGTTTAATCAAATAACTGGTAAACTTCTTAAAAACCAAATATATATATGAAAAGTTTGATAAGAAAAACCATTTTTATTATTCTTTTATATCCTTTCTTATCATTGAGTTGCTGTTTACCATCTTAAAACAAAAAAAAATATTTTATAACTATTATTTCAAGTATGAAAATTACACATCTTATTTGTGTGTGTGTGTGTGTGTGTGTGATTTTCTTATAGGTTATATCATTCTTTCTGCCTCATGATTTGGTCGCCTTTAAACAACAGGTATACTATGGCATTCATATTATTTCTTATATCTTTAATAAACATTTTACAGAATAATATATTCATATTTGATAATTGATAGATTTTTTTTATTTGGCTATATATTAAGGTATATGTTTGTTTGACAACAGTAAAAATTATATGCAGTTTTATCTGTCATGTTTGAAATACTTAAAAATCTGAAATTTTTAAACACCCATTCTTCCTACCTGCTCAATGATAAAAATATTTGTCATTAATGAAGTGTCTGGTTGTAAACTAACCATTCTTGGTCATCAATGTGAATACTTTAACAAAGAGTCTTCTGCCAAATAGTCATTCATAGTTATATGAATAAAAATAACGTTGCTATTAAAGAGCCCTGATTGAAATAATGATTCATACTCATCAACTTCAAATATATATATATATATATATCACTGTTGGAAGCCCTTTGGAGAACAATCAATTATGTTCATTTGTGTAATAAGAATAGGTTGTCATTGAAGAGCTGAGCTTAAAGTTCGTGTGTCATTCAGAGGTATAAAAATTCTAAATATTGCAATAATGGAAGAAGGGAAAAGGCTTGTTTACAAGAAAATAAAATGGATGCAGACAGTAAAAGATGGACTTAAATATAAGTGTAAAACAAAGAACAAAAATTGTTATTTCTTACATAAACTTAAATAACCAAGGCTTACTGTATTCTTTATTGGAATTCTGTTATTGTCATTAGCAGTATTCTTATAATGTTTTATATATGTATTTTTATTTTTTTACATGTTTTATGTATTTTTATTGTAAGGATTATTTTGCATTGTTAGCTTAGTATATGGATTAATAACTAATCTAAATCTCCTATGCTGGCCAAAGTTTGTAAGATAACAGCTATAAATACCACAAACAATATGGTTACTCAGTTGATGATTCAATGCATTGTTGTAATGCTTTCTGTTGTTGGGCAGGTTTTTTAGGATTATCCAGAAGAAAGCATAATTAAACCTCTAGAAATGGTTAGATTAAAAAACAAAACAAAAAACATAGCCTACAACACATTATAAGTAAGAATGGTATGATAACTATATTCTTACAAGCACTTGCTACCATCACTGAAGGAGTTTCTTGAAGCTGCACATGTAGAACAAGCCTTTTTCTCTTCTTTTCTTAAGCTCCAGGCAACCTTCTGAAGATGAGGGACTTTATGGTATTATTGGAGTTTATCTCCAATTTCTCTGGTATTAGAGCTGATTCACAGCACTGTATAATACTGGTGCAAGGTCAAGGCCAAGAGAAGCTTTTCTACATACATGGTTGGCCTCCTGTTGTAGAATGGAGGTTATTAGGGTCATAAGTTCTATGTGGTGTTAGGAAGCCAATATGGGGTGAAAAGAAACCACTTCCAAATAAACTCAGCAAAGAAACATATCCTACCTTATGACACCAAACTTGGCTGTGGTATTGTTAGGTAGAATTGAAATCAACAGGTTAAGTACTAAGTAGTTTAGTCCTGGGAGGATCAAGAAGACTTGTTCTTGACAGAATGAAATTAACACAGATAACTAAGTGGAAACTCAAACATAAGTTTAAAATAAAGAACATAATATTTATTTCATACATAAACATTGACTATCAGGACATGCTAGGCTTTTTACTCGGTTGTATATTAATCTGTAGTGTAACTTCTCTGGCTGTTGTAGCTAGAAGAATGATAGACAACTTCTTTACACAATGAAGACTGAAAACAGAGAGTATTATGTCTATATCACACTTTCAAGTCATAGTAAAGTACTATTCCAGATTACCTTCAGCAGTAATAATTTCCTTATACATAGATCTGGGGAGATTAACTATCAGTGCATACTTACTTGACAAACTTTTGTACCCCTTCTCCACTATGGTATGACCCACACTTCAGAGGAGAAATCACACAAATATTGAACTAATGACTAAAATATGTCATTATTGAAATACCTTATTTAAAAACACCATTCTTGGTTATATATGAAATAAAAATGTTTCATTATTGAAGAGCTCAGATCAAAACAGTCATTTATAGTTATCTGTTTTAAAAATGTACCATTATTGAAAAGCCTTCTTTAAACCCATCATTTTTGAGCATCTATGTAATGAGGAGGAGAAAATAAACTTCATTTAATTAAGGAGCATCTTTTATAAAACTGCTATTCTTATTTATAGATTTGATGCTAAAGATAATGTATTAATTTGATTTTTTAGGACACTGCAGGTGTATGTAAAATCAATGTATGAAGAAGCACGTCTTGTTTCATAAGAACTGTGATTTTATAGAAAATACTATTATTAACTAATTTATGCTACTAAAGAAAAACTGTTTTTAATGCACACTTTTAAAAACATTTGATATTCAAATAATTGTTTAAAAGTTATTTCTCAGAGTTGGAATAATTTCATATTTACTTTATTTTGTTCTAGTTACAGAAGCATTCTTCCAACCCAAATATGAAAATGCAATATGAATCCAATCCCTTCTCTGCAATGTTAAGAGATTATGAAAAATGTAGATTTGCAAAGAAATCTCAAAGTGCACCTACACTTGTGGCAAAAACTGAGGAAAAGAGCAAATCAAGTGAGAAAAGCAGTTTCAATAAAAATCTCAAGGAGATGGATTATTCACAAAAACTTCCAAGCATAAATACTAGGTTAACAAGTAGTGAAGCTCAAGTTGATCAAATTCATAATAACCAACATGCAAAACCAACAACAGGAAGACCCACACCCCTTTCAGTACTTCTGAAACTTGCTAAAAAACAAAATAGTACCATTCCATTTTCTCTTTCGAAATTTAGAAAATCTTTAAAGACAAAGGAAATACCAACTTTTTTCAAAGGGAAAAAAAGACAGAGTGCTGAAACTATCACCAAGACACAAACACCACAAACTTCAGATAAGTGCAATGACAAGACAGCTAGTAAGTATACTTGTGTTTCCTTAACCCAACAGGAACCTTCTAATGATTACCTTGATATGAAACCTGGATCTCAGCAGACATCAGTTTACATGTCCATGTCTAAAGATGAAAACATGAATGAAGATTCTACAAACCAAGCATTATACAGGGGCTTAAATTATTTTCAAAACACCTCAGACTACATGACAATGAACAGGCAAGAAGCTTTAGTTAAAGATAAACAGCTGTTTCAGCCATTGTACATATCAGAATGTATGGGATCCAATGAAGATAAAAACTTGAGTTTTAAAATGAATGAGTCATGTAGTATACCTCAAAAAGAAAATGACCTGTTAAATAGCTCAAAAAGTTCCAAACCAATGTCAAATAGACTTCTGCCACTAGGAGACAACCAGAAGTTAAATTATCATAACATTTTACCAACCACAAAATCAGGTTTTTCCAAACTTTTCACACAGAGTAAGAGTGCCAATTTATATCATTTGACAACAAGTGACAAGAATGGTGAAATTAACCAAAAACGAAATAAAGACCCACTGAGTGAAACACTGGATAATTATCCTGTTTCCCCACAGGCTTTTCCTGGTATTCAAAAGCACCCCAATAGATTATTGCAGGTTTCCATACCTTCTAGAAACAGTACTCTAGAAACAGCAGAAGGAGATTATGTTTTACTGTCATCAAAGGAATCTCCTAATTATGAGGAGATGAACTTTCTCAGCTCATATCAGCACTCTGTAATACCTTCCTCTCTGTACAATGGATCTTTATCTGACTGTAGCATAGACCACTTACCCATTTTTGAAAATAGGAATGTATACGATGGGCTGAAAAGTGGAAAGAAAACTTCTTCTAATGGTGAAAATATCCATACATTGTTAAGGAAACAGAAGTCTATTTCATTAGATAAATCTCTTAATCCAACAATAAAGACTTCATTGCACCACAGGAAAAGTTCCTATCCAGTATTATCCAATTCTTCTACCAACAAATCAGCACCAGGCTTATCATTGTGTCAAGAAAACAGTCCCCTAGGAATAACTAAACCTGATTCTTCAATACAGTATCCAGATCAAAATAGTCAGTCAGACATGCCAAATTTGATACACAGTTTAAACTTGACAAACGTGGAAAGAAAACCTCAACCAATGAAAAGACAAGTCATTTCAGTGGAAACCATTAAATCTGGTGATCTTCATTTCCCAGAAGATTCTCAACCACCTCAGAAAAGTCCAGGATTAAATCTCAACTATGCACTTCTTGATTTAACACCAATTGAATCAGACAGAGAGAAAATTCAGTCACTAAGAAGCACAACTATTCAAACCCCTATTGTACAATCTACACAAGAAATTCCTCTGTCTTATGCTCAGATCGATTTTGCAAAATCTGAAGGTTTAAGAAATACCTCACATGGCTTAAGAGGCGGAAAAGTTTGAAATCTAGTGTTATGTTGTCAGTTATTGTGTAATGTTAAATTTTATCTCATTCACTAGTTATGGTATATAAAGGTGAACTGAATATTTCTTCATGGTATCAAATGGATCCACTAAATAAAAGGAGATTTACTCAAGATATTAATTATGGAGTGGTATTAAATCTCTTACTAGCTGAATCAATGTCAAATGAAGAAATGAGACTTGATGTAAAGTGAAATACAAAATGAACAATCTTTCACTGGATCACTAAACTGACTACTAACAACCAAGTTCTATCAAGCTCTTTAGTGATGTTTCAGATTACACTCACTCAATACCAGATTCCTTAGTTCCCGAGAAACTTAGCATTTATCCAGAGTGACATGCGCTACCCACATAACTGGTCATTCTTATTACGAAATTGATGAGCCAGTAACCTCTATATATCACCTGAACAAACCATTGAAGGACACTGCTGTCAATATCGTTACACAATGTTTTATTAAACAGTGCTCTTCACAGATGGTAACAGGTATTGTCTACTTCAAGAACAACAAAGAAACAAGTCAAATGTCATATGATTTTTTAAAATTGATAATATGACTTTTTCAACTGCTGGAGAGAATTAATGTGGGTTGGCCAGAGTGAAATTTGGGGGTGCACCCCTCTAGCACCAGTTTTGTATGGAACCTGTACATATTCAAAACAAAGATTAAATTTAGATAAATATTATAACACATACTATATTTTTATTGTTCAATCTGCACAAGAAATTCCTATGTTTTGTTCTTGGCTTGATTTCACAAAATTTGAAGTTTTAGGAATTGCCTCACCTGACTTAAAAGATGGAAGAATTTGAAACTGGTGTGATATCCAGTGTTACATCATCAATTATTATGTAATGTAAAATGTAATCTTGTTCACCAGCCAAGCCCATGTTCAGTGACTTGATTTCTAGTTTGTCCCACTACTATATTATACTTTGCACTGGGTGATGAAGAAGATATGTTGATGAATTAGATGCTTAAATCATTCTATATATATATATATATGTTGGAAAAATAGATTGTTTTGGGAGATTTTACTTGAAAGATTTGGTCACAAGTTATGTGACTCCGTTACATAAGAAGATGTAGGAGTAACCTCACTTCTACAGCCAAGTTGTACTAAATGTTTAGTTATATATTTGTGAGAGACCATAGTAAAAGCACAAATCACAAGAGTATGCTTTGAAGATTTCTGTAAAATATTACTTTTTCTCTTAGTTATGTACCCATGCTTTCAAGTCATATGGACTTAACAAGAATTTTTGTTGTTGTTGTTTCTGTGAAAATTTAAGACACATGTTGAAGTAATTAGTGTAAATATGCTGTTTATTGAATTTATGACACTTGTTATATAATACTTAATTTTCTTGCCCTTTTGTAGGATTTATGATATTTTATGTTACATGTACTTGTTAGTGAAAATCCAAATGTTTATGTTATAATTCATTCTGTGTGTATATATATATATATATGTGTATATTTGCATAAGCTTGAAATATAGTGTTTATTTTTAAATCTTATAATATACTTGCAAACAAACAAAAACAGGGTTAAAAAAGGAATTAACATGTTTATGAAAATGTTATTGTTTAAGCTTTGAAGTACAAATAGTCACTTAGTAAAGAGTAATTTGAAATGTATTGAACAAATGACTAACAAGCAAAAATATACTATAAATATTTCTTAAGTAAAAACGTCATGACAATGTTCATATTTGAAAGCTAATTTTTCAATCTAAGTAAATTAATACCAAATTAGATTATTTTTATGGAATTATTTTACATTTTAATAACTATGGATATGTATAAAAGCATGATACTTAATCTATAGCTATAACATAAAGTTCTATATAAAAAAAGAGTATGAAGTTTTTATGAATAAAAAAATATATCTTTTTATAATGCTAAATCAAATCCCCAGTTTCATTGTAAATTTTACAGAAGAAACTATTATTATTACTATTTGTTAATTTTGGATTAAAAGTATAGAATAATTGCACAATAGAAATTATATATATTTCTTGAAAGATCTATTTTTTGTATTTCAAGACTTCCTAATAGATTGGCCTTTGTCAACAACTGAATGCTAAGTGTTGTAAGTGCTGCATCAATAGAGATGTGTATTGCATTCTTCAATGTGAGCATGTGCTGGTTTCTAATACATTTTATTGTATTGATCAATGTACAAATGTAGTAAGGTCTATATTGTTCTGCCACCTCAGTAAGAGCAAAAACCATGCCTAAAAGAACAGTTTAAATGATACTGAATGCTATCCCTCTCTACTACCTATAAATTACAATCTGTGTATGTTAATAAAGATGTTGATTAATTAAGTAAGTTTAACAAAGCAGTTCATACTATCCTTTATTCTAATGATTATTAATTACCAACAATCATGATTGCATTTTTCATAGGTGGCTGGCAGTACCCTGATTCTGTCTTTAGAAGTAGGATAAGACAATACAATGTAAAATAGGATAATAGGTATTAGACCAAGGTATAATGTAAACAATTTACATACAGCAAATACAGAATACATATGCCATCTGAAATGTAATGCAAACTGCACAAAGCAGTTAAAGAATGATTGAAATTTATAATGTTTTAATTATGACACAAGGTGCAACTACTGTTATAAAACAATGTCATTCTCATTTAATTCTTATGTAAATCAGACATTTGGTCATCTGCCTTGCAAGTTGAAATGCAAGTGTCTGGTCATTCAGCCTACACTCATAAATGAACATTTGATAAAGATTGATTTACATTTTTACACTTCATGACATTTCACTTCAATATAAAGTAGGGGCTCAAAGAACAGCAAGGGTAGTCTGGCACCAATATCTCATGCTCAGTCACAATATTGTTAGTCATAGGAAATCCTAATTAATATTGTGCGAAACAAATATATAAAGGCAAGGTTGGTTGATTGCTGATTTGCATACCAGATCACAAGACTGCTATAAATAACAATGAGCTGAGGAGAGTGACTGGCATTAATTGTAAAAGTGGTTTTGCCATGTCATATTTTTAGTTATAATATTCCAAAATCCAGTTATCCTTTATTTTGTGCTGTGTAGAAGTTAAACAGCATTATGTACAAAAAATAACAATGCAATAAAGATAGAACACATATTCTGTTTTATAACAGTGGTTTTGACTTCACATATCTATAACATTTCATGTTCCAATCATCCTTTAATTATTTTGTACAATGTTTAACAATTAAGAGTACAATAATGACAAGTCATAAATTCTATCTCAAGGTATAATTTACCACAGAAGCAGCATAACCTTCGAAAAACAATGGTTTTTATGTTTAGGTAAAAGTATCTGATATTTTTTATTATGTATGTGCAATATTTTTTTCTGACATCAGTAAAGAAACTTTGGTTCAATTGTAAAATTTTAATTATTTTAGTTTGGTACTCTTAAAGAATAAATACGGTCAAAAAATATTTTTCATTTACATTTTTCATATTTCCTTGATTTTTATTATTGATTTGAAGAACTTGAAAGGTGTATACACGGCATTTATGTATTTGTTTATTCCCTTGTGGATGGTTTACATAAAATTTGGCCAAAAATTCACAGTTGGGTGTAAGAAAAAAAAAGACTTTTGCATCTATATATATAAATATTGAATTCATCAATGACCTTTCTGGAAGATCTGCTATCCATGTTTGGTTTAAAATATTTGTGACAAAGAGTGTATTTCATTCAGATTTTGTAAGTTTTGAAGCTGTAGTTGTATGTTTGAATTTGCATTAGTTTTTAATAATTAATTATATATCTGTAACCTCCAGTCAAGTTCAAAGTCTAGTTTAATCTTATTGTATTAACCCATTATAGCATATTTGGTGTTCAATCCAAACTATTATGTTAATTAATTTAAATTTGCATTACTTTTTAATAACTAATTATATCCATAACCTTCAGTCAAGTCTAATTTTATTGTATTAACCCATTGTAGCGTGTTTGGTATTCATTCCAAGTTATTGTGTTAATTAACGTAATTCAAATCGTGTTTTGTTGGTTCCTTCAGTGTTAAGATTTCTGTGCCTCAAGATAATGCACAAAAATGTCCTTCTGCTTATGCTAAATTCAGATACAACGTTCTGTTTTTGACAGACCTCGTTAGTGACTGTGTCAGATCTAAGGATTGCGTCTATGGAATTTGCAGTGACAAAACGTTGATTGAATACTTATTTCTTCACAGGTTCATTGTCTTTTATTCAGATATAACGTTTGTTAATTTCTGAAGGTATTATGAGTAAAAAATAATATTGTCAATTTTGTTGGTTAGATAAATTAGTTGAATAATAATCTGGTTCTCATAAATAACACTGCTTAACCTACCAAGACATATCTGTTATCGTAATTTTCCGAATATAATACGCATTTTTTTCATTAAAATTTATTTAGAAGTTAGAGTGCATATAATATGTGGTAATCAATCTTTTTCTTTAAGTCCAGGCCACCTTTTCCAACACGCGTTGTGAACAATAATGCGTACTTACTAGAAATACTGCGTTTCGATGGTATGTATTTTTAATTATCTCTGTTTCTAAGGCGTAAATCAGAATTGTCTTCCGTTTTCATCCATTTTCAGTATATTAAACATGATTTTTGAAATAAATTATGATAAAGCTAAGTCTTGTGTTTTTTAAGATTTACTTATGTGCATACTTAGAAACGTTTTAAAATACAAAACTAGTTCTCGCTACATTACGTTTGATATTCAAAACTACAAATCATTTTCGGTGAAACCTTGAAATCCTGAGTCTGAAACAATGTCTTTCATTTAGTTGCCTCAATTTCTCTTGCCGGTCGCGATTGCAAACATAAAAAACACCACAGCGAACGTGCAATTAGCGGATACTCTTAATATTATTGTCTTCAAAGGGTTACTTTGATCACAGTATTGCAAAAATGTAGTTGCGTATTATTTATGGTGATAAGGCAAATTTGACTCTGTTCGTGAAGATTAGAGTGCGAATTATATTCGGAAAATGAATATACCAAGACTGAACCACAATCACCCCTCTGAAGTTTCTTATTTATTTTATTCCTATTTTACTGTTTGATTTTTGTGAGAAGTATTCAAGATTAATTATAACGAAAGTTGTACCTTATAATTTTCAATAATTCATATAAAAATTTAATCAGGTTTTAACACAAAATTTTGATTCAAAAACAACTTGAAAGCTTACGTGATTTGATAAACGTTCAACTCCAATATTATCTCAACTGGCAAATCAGCTTGTAATTAATTCATGCTATCAACATGAGTGTTAAAAAATAAAATATGTTTACCCTAAGTACTATGTAATATTTAATTTACCAATATGTAATAATTGTCCATAGCAAAGAATGGACAAATTGTCAATGTAATTCATAAAAAATATACAATTATAAAATGATTCAAAACACCTTATTATTCAACTAGTATATTACAGTATACTTTGATACACTTGAAATTATAAAAGAAAAAATATTTTTATCTCATTCAGTCGTATATTAACTTAAACCATTATTTGACAAAAGTATACGTGTATGTATCCACATATAGCTGGCCAACACCTGGACCTACTGTCACCAAACCTGGCATGTACCCATGGGGAAGAGTCAGCATTTATTACTGACTCCCTGTGAATTAAGTGGGTATGCCACCTAGTTTATAGAAGGTAAGGGATAAAATTACCAGCACATTTTATTTTTGTTCTCCATCTCAATAATGTTCACATAATAAAACTGCATTCAGCCACTAGTACTCTTTAATACAGAGAAAAGTTGTTTTGAAAACAACTGAAATATCCATATGTTTTCAAACACACGTACATCTTTATCACAACAAATATTTTTTCAAATTATAATTTATACCATCAAACTCTTGATGGCCAGCTACAAACACTAAACATCCTCTAATACTTGTTTAAGAAAGTAAGTGCGTGATCTACAAAAATAAGGCTTCACTAAGTTTCCTCTGTAAATGGAGCCTCATTAAGGTAGAGTGTCGCCTTTTTTTTTTTTTTGTTATTGTTATATACTGTTGCGTCATCGAGATCACGTGACTATTCTCACGCCCTCTAGTTTCTAGAACTATCCCGTATCTTGACGAATGCTCTAGTATTTACTAGATAGGGTAGGCTGGTATATAAAAGAGGGGGATGTAACGTGTGTGGGAGGATAGTGAGTAATTGAACTGCAGTCAGAAGTATTATTGACGTTCGTTGATATAGCTGTTGCGTCATCGAGTCACATGACTACTGTGACGCAACGTTTCTAGAACTGTCATGTACTTTGGCGAATGTTCTAGTTATTACTAGATATAGGGTAGGCTGGTATATAAAAGAGGGGAATGTAATGTGTGGGTAGACAGTGAGTAATTGATCTGCAGTCAGAGTATTATTGACGTTCGTTGCTATAGCGTTTGTTTAGCGCGATTGTTGAAGTTGAGTGTATCGG